GGCGTTAATTAACAATATTCAATTAGCTCGTAACCCCCGGGGTAGCAACGGACTTTTATATCAGTGATATACAATATGAAGCGTTAGTTGCGCGCGCGTGCCCCGGTGATATGAATAAATAAAGTTTTCAATATACTGCTCATATTTCGCTGCACGGTTCTGGGCTCCGAGGACGCGCGAACTTTCGGCATATAATAGTTACAGTTTGTAACGCGCGAGAGTTTCGCACAGTTTGATAAACCCCGCAACTTAATCCGCCGTGGTTTAACGCGACGAAACGCAAATATTTTCAAGATAATCACGAGGGCCCCGAAAATTCAGCGGACGCACCTCCCGCCGCTCGGCCGCGGGCATCGTCGGCACCTTCGACCTCGTTAATCCGAGAGATGAAACGATCATAAAATTTCTATCGTCGACCGAGAACCCGGATATTTGCGCGCGCGCGCGCGCGCGAGAGAGAGAGAGAGGGTCGACCCCCGGGCCCGAGAGAGCGAGGGAGACGGACGGAGGGAGAGCTGAGCGGCTTGCTTGGCGGTCATAAAGCATTGAATAATCATGAAGCTAATCGCGCGACACGCGTTGCCTCCTCGCTGGCCAACCGGCCGCAGGGAGCGACCAAGTCGCGATCCCTCGGCGCATTAGCGCCAGCGTGCTCGCGCGCGCGCGCGCGAGTGCTCCATCAATATTAATAAGATCGTAACCGGACGACCGCGATGCGCGGAGAGACGGCCGATCGAACCGGACGGTCAATTTGCCCAGCGGTTAGGCGGCTGGATTTTTCGTCTCGCATCTTCTCCCTCTCTCCCTCCCTCCCTCCCACCCTGTCTCTTTCTCTCGCAAAGTGTACGCTTCGTCCCTTTCTGTCGCGAGCGTCAAGCGAGACACGAGCTCGTCGACGCATTAATGAGCGGCGTTTCGCAACACCTCGCGTCGAGAGTCGCGTCGCCTCGCGGAGTTGCGCTCGAGGGCACGTCGAGACTGAGCGAGGCTTAAAGTGTCGTAATAGCGACGTCGACGTGGTCCATAAACATTGGCCGAGCCAATGTCGGAGGTTGCGGAGTTCACCGGTAACGCGCACCGCCGGCGGCAGCGGCGATACGAGCGCGCGCGGCTTCCTCTCAAAGGTAAACGGTATCGGTCCGTTTGATGTTTGAAGTCGCCAATGTGTGGACAAAGCCCACGTCTTGACTGAGCCTCTCGCTTTCTCTCTCTCTCTCTCTCTCTCTCTCTCTCTCTCTCCCCTCCCTCTCCCTTTCTGTCTGTCTCTTCCTCAAGTTGGAGCAAGCTTGGCAGGCCATATTATTGGGTGCTTGAACAAGTTTCCGTCGTTTTTGTGAAATAAAAGACCTGTGTTTCATGAGAAAGAATAGTTTATTCAAAGTAGTGTCTATTGTTAGCTATAACCTTTTCCCACTTTTCACGTAACAAGTGGATTCCGCGATAGAACTCCGGTTCATTTGAAGTGATTCAGTGCTCAAGGCAATTTTTGATATCTTCATACGAAGTGAAGTGCTGCTCAGCAAAGCCATGCTGCATGGACCGATACAAATGATAATCAAAAGGAGTTAGGTCTGGGGAATACGGTGGATGAGGTAACGCATCCCAGCCGAATGCTTCCAACGTATCCTTGACTGGTTGACGAAACATGTAGTCAAGCATTGTCGTGTAGCAAAATCACGTTGCCATGTCTTTTGGCATATTCTGGATGTTTGTCTTTCAATCCACGAGTCAAGTTCATTGTTCTCGGTAACGTTCACTATTGATGGTCTGACACGGTTGCAGCAGCTCATAATACACCATATCTTGTTGATCCAAATATACAACATAACCTTCCGTCCATGAATATTCCGTTTTGGCGTTGATGATGATGGCTGACCGGGCTTGCTCCAGTGCTTTTGATCGTTTTGTATTGTCATAGTGGATCCATTTTTCATCCTTAGTATTCGATGGAAAATGAGGTTTGTTTTTGAAACGACAATTCGCAGCACATGGTAAACGCCTTTCAAGATGTCTCTTTCTTCCAATTCATGTGGTAGCCAGTTTCCGGGTTTTTGAATCATTCCCATTGCTTTTAAACGTTTGCCAACAGTCGATTCATCAACATTTAATACTTCTGACAATTCTTTCAGCGTTTGACATGAATCTTCATCAAGTAATGTTTCCAGTTGTTCATCCTCCAATTTTTTCGGTGCACCTTTGCGTTCTTTATCTTCCACATCGAAATCATCATTTCTAAAGCGTTGAAAGCACTCTCTACAACTTCTTCCGGATGGAACATGCTTCCCATACGTCTCCACAAGTAAACGATAACTTTCAGCTGCGCATTATTTAACAATAAAATAATGCAGTAAAACTTCCCGCAAATGCTGTTTTGTTCGCACAAAAGTCGACATTTTCAACGCAATGACAAAAATATTGTTTGCACGTCCACCAAATGTCATATACTAAATATGAAAGCTTGTTTATATCGTACTCTCGTATATGTGTTGGCACTGGAAATTCTACGCATGTAGTACTCGTTACATCTCTTTGAAAGCGGCGGAAACTTATTCAAACACCTAATATATTTTTACGGTTCGACAAATGACTTTTACATCGTTGACTATATCGGGGTGGGAAGTCGATCAAGACACGCGACTAGCAATGTTGGGGTGAATTCGGGAAAACGTCGAACGACCGCAGGGAGGAACAAAGATGTGAAGTCAACATGAGTGAATACACTTCTTTCTAGGTCACGCCAATTTTATATCTAAGAGAGTGATCGTCGAACAGAGAAGCGAACGTTTCTCATTGGCGTAGATGTGTGACAAAACCGGCTGAATAAAATCCATTTCCACGATACTCGATTTCTCGTCTTCAAAAGATCCTTTTGCTTCACACGCTACGAATTGGGGTCAGAGGGGGTGTTCTTTCTGAGGCGCCTCGCCGCAACTCGCGTCTTCAAGGGGGTGATCCCGCCGTTCGAGAGCGAGCAAGAAAGCGGGGAGGGAACAGAGAGACGGCTCCGGCGCGGCAAGAAAGAGTCTCCGCGGCGAGACGTTATATTTTTCGAGCGGATCGACTGTTTCATCGGCGGAGCCCATCGAAACGCATCGCGGTTAAGCGGTTTAAGAGAGCCTTCCCGTGTCCGTATCCGCGCGCTCGTTCGTTTGCACGCGGGGAAGACGGAGGAGGAGGGTCCAATCTGGAAAATGCACCGAACGCGCGCGCTAACGGCGGCATCGATCGCGCCCTCGTCGCTGTATGAACGGATATGAACGGAATACACTGGCGCTAATGCATACTACACGTAATGCCGGGGGTATCCTAACTTTACGGCGTCCATCACCAACTCATTCCGCTCGCCGCAGCTGCTCCCGCTAATACTTCAACATGGGCCTCGCCCGTTAGTCGCGGCAAAGCGAAGGAGAGAGAGAGAGAGAGGGAGAGAGTGAGTGAGTGAGTGAGAGAGAGAGAGAAGGAGAGAGAGAAAGAGAGAGAGAGAGAGAGAGAGAAAGAGAGAGAGAGAGAGAGAGAGAGAGTGGAAGGAACGGGAGGGCACGAGCAAGGGGGAGAACAAGAGCAGCGACTCGCCGCAGCAGCGAAGCTTCAGCTTCGCTTGAGCGTGAGCAGACGAGCGGAAGAGGCTCCAGGCATACCGCTGCTGCTTGCTCTCTGTTCGCCTGCCGGCCTGCCAACCGGGCCTCGACAAAGTGTGCCGCCGCTCGCGTTCACCGACAGTACGAAATTAGCTTACGGATTCGCGATAAGCGGCTTACGTTTCGAGCAGGATGATCCGCCGGTCCGCAATCGATTCTTGATCGTGCGGCCGGGAACACACTTTGAACTCGGGACTTCAGTTCGTCACGTCTCACCTTGTCTGGCCTCGCCTGACCTGGTCTAGCGTCGGCACATGCGCGTGGCCCGCTTCCTTCGGGCTGCATTCGCGCAACGGAACGCGATAGCCTTTTCCCGGGTGTACGATCTCGACTTGTTGCCTCTTCAAGGGAGAGCGGCCCCGGCCCCCGCGCGCGATTAGCCAATACTCGGGTCAATGGCCAACCTCACCGGGCCTGTTTCGACGGTCGCGGCTGGCGCCGGTGGCTGCGCGAATCGCGCCGCCGGACACGCGTCATAAATCACGAGAGCGCCGAGTGTTTTTAGCGAGTCGTGCCGCGAGGTGGAGGCGCGCGGGATTGATGGTTAAATGTCCCTCGAGGAGGAACCGCACGATCCTTCAACAGGTCATCGCGAAGTCCACGGTGCCCCGCGGTAGTCCTCGGTTCTCGCCGCGCGAACGAGACTTCGCGAAGAAATTGTCCTTGTTTTGCAGCCTCGCGCCCGTAAATTTGTCTTGCAGCGGCAAGCTCCGGTGTACGCCGAGTTTCCAAAGTCTTGAATATTCAGACCCGAGAGAATTTATTGAAAGATCGAAGATTTGCGGCGGATTGGAACGTTCGCTGATTGTTTCTAATCGTCCCCCCCCTCCCCCCCCTCATCGTGTTTCTATGTAACGTTATTTTGATTCAGGAATTTCTTCTTGGAATTTTATTTATCGGGGCATTTCTATGTGAAAAACGGTTGGAGCTCGTTCGGTGTGTTACGAGAAAAAATTGTTCAGCCAATCAAATACGTCGATACGTGGTGTCACATCAAGTTATCAAGATGGCAGATCAGAATTGGTCGGAAATGCGCACGGGGTGTAATGATACAACTATTTAAAAACCAGAATCTTATTTGGCACGAGGCTAACGAGGCGATCCTCGCGAAGTAGTCGCTGATATGATTTCCGTATTTTCTGCGCCATTTACCAGCATCGGTCGGATTAAATCATTAGGGTAACGAGGAGGTAATGGGAGAATCCAATCGGTCCGACTTAGCGACTCGTCCGCAAAACGCCGAGCAACTTCACGGAGACGAGGCTCTCAGCGCCTCGCCTCGCCTCGCCTCGTCTCTCGCTTCGCCGTCTCGTAATCCAGAGCGTCGCGATGGAGAATCTTTAATTAAGTTAAGTCGCTCACCTCCTGTCCTTTGATGTTTCTGTATCGAACCCATTTGCCTAGTCGCGGCCTCCAGTATTCCAGCAGATACGCCTCCGCGTATTCAACGCCCACGCCGTTTCCGAAACGGCCCTGGGTAGCGGTAGCCGTGATCAAGTGGATCGTGTGGAGGTCGATCTCCAGCCATTCTCGTGCTTCCTTGGTGATTTGGTTCTTAGGGCACCAGGCGCCGCCGAGATTCTCCGATTTCAATCTGTAACCATCGGCACGGTCGAGTATCGAATCAGTTTTAGTTCTCTTCCCCTCTTCCCCTCCCCCCCCTCTCTCTCTCTCTCATTCGCGGTCAGCTACCCCGTGCATCTGAGACAAGTCCGAGCGAACCGCGCGTGACTTTTGTATCGCTGATCGGTATAACATGATTAGTTTAGAAATCGTATATTATACACTCAAAAAAATATTTCAGCTAGAATTCTAAACGTTGCAGCTGAAAAAATTTTTCACTGATTTTTATATCCGCTAGAAAAATGCCTGTGTCTACGCAGAATTTACAACGACATTCTAGCAATATCTGCAGGAAAATTGAGGTACCGTAGTTAAATCTAAATTACTGCGTTAAATGAAAATAATAATAATAATAATTTGACTAAGTGCCACAAAGAGACTTTCTTACTAAATTTGACAAACAGTCATAAATTCTGTCTCCGTCATTTATATTGATTAGATACAAAACATATGTAGTATCGTAATGCTTGCTAATAATTTAGCCATTTCAGCTGATTCCTCTAAATAGTTTTCGCTACACGATCATTTTTCTCAGCATACCAAAAGGACAACTTTCACTAAATTGATATTATAAATAAGTATCAGTGAGAAGTCAATTAAGATGCGCGGCTATTCGAGTTGGTTCCGGAGAAAGAGAAACCAGCTCGCAGACAGAAGCAAATATCTCACCGCATTGAGATAAATTTTGAGGTAATTTTGAACGGCTTCGAAACGTACGTTCGGAGACACGAGCTCGAATTCGAACCCATCACCCCTCACGCCCATGATTCCCGAAGACGTTTGCTGTCATTTCGAGCACCGAGACCTTCGTCTGCGGCTCCAAAGTCCGCGAATCGTCGGCGACGCGTTGCGCTCCCTTTTCGCATTCGACCGCGTCGTCCCGAAGGTGTCTCCCCCGGAATCTTCGAACGGCCGCGTTTATTTTCGGGGCTCCGCGCACCGCTCATAAAAGTAACGATCTAATTAGAGACGCGAAAGTATCGAGTTATCTCGTCGCCCGGCGACCGATGTTAGTCCCGCGCGCTATCTGAGAATCAACCGACGTCCAAGTCGACCGTTCGAATCCTCGTAGCGAATCTCGATATGATCGCGTTTACGTGCGCGAGAAATCGAGGGAATTTCGGGTTCTCTTTTTCTCCCTTCCCCCCCCCCTCTCTCTCTCTCTCTCTCTCTCACGTTATTTCGCTGACACTGTGCAGCCCGCGCGCACGGCGCGAGAATCCGAGTCGCATTTTAATGAAGCACGGAACAGTCGGAATTAGAATAAAAAGGTGTTTCGAATTCCTCGCTCTCTCTTTCTCTCGGCCGGTGAAACGCTCGGCCGTGTAGCCGTGTTCGACGAGACGCGCTCGTTAGAAGCACCGTCTATCTATCCGTCGCTCTCTCGCCCGGCCGTACAGCGGCAACAAAAATAACGTCGGCTACGTCGGCTACATCGTCGTGCACGCCGCGCGCCGTTGACGTCGCTCCGCGACGACGCTATTACGCGTCGCTCGGCTGTGAAAAGGGCGCCGTGGCAGCCTGGAAAACGCGCGCGCGCGACGGATGGCGGAAGAAAGACAAGAAAGGAAGAGAGAGAGAGAGAGAGAGAGGGAGAGAGACAGAGATGACTCGCAGCGCAGCTAAGAACGCGAAAACGAGCTTACCGGCGATCATCGGGGACAGAGCCCGGCGGCTTATCGAGATTTCCGACAAAGCGGCCGATCCGATAACAACAACGTCGAATTTACATAGATGGCCGCGAGGAAGTGAGAGGGGGGGTGAATCGGGGTGTCCGAGTGGGCGCGTATCACCTCCCGCGCAGGTGATACGGGTCGGACGGGCCGTACAAGCGGCCATTTATGCGTCCAAGCTGTGCTCTCTCGCCCGCCTCGTGCTTCGGTTTTAATCTTCGAGGGGTCGGGAGCGAGGCAAGGAACGAGCGAGTGAGCGGGAGATGCAGAGAGAGAGAGAGAGAGAGAGAGAGAGAGAGAGAGAGAGGCAGAGAGAGAGAGAGAGAAAGCTCCGCGCCCAGGCCGGCATGAATAAAACATGAAGCGCGAAGCGCCTTGCCTAATTGCGTGGACCGTTTAAATGCTCGACTAAGAGTGAGGCGCTCCTTTTCGACGGAACGCCGAGGATACGGACGACGTTACGCGCGGGTCCGAGTGTATTCTTCCCAAATTGCGGATTAGCGGGGCCCGGCCCCCGCGACGACGGCGGCGGTGGCGGCGAATAACTCGACGCGAAGGGATAACGCTCGCTTAGCGCGTCCCGAGAAAACGCGCGGAGGAGAAAAAGGAGAAGACAAGGAGGAGAAAGCGCGGGAGAGAGAGAGAGAGACAGAGAGAGAGAGAGAGAGAGAGAGAGAGAGAGAGAGAGAGAGAGAGAGAGAGAGAGAGAGAGAGAGGGAGGTGGAAAAGAGGCGCGAGAGCGTTCGCCGCGTCGGAAAATAAGACGCAACTTGTAATGAAACGGCACAATAAACCGCGTCGTTACCGGCACGACGTGATTATAATAATCTTCCGTGATAATGAGCGGTATAAATGGAGCCGTTTACGACGGCGTCTCGTCCCGGTCGCGTCACCACTGATCCACGAGGTGCTAATAATCGCGCCTCTCGCGCGCTCGTCATTAGCCGCGGATACGATACGATAAGCCGCGGCCGGCTGGCTGTAACAACCGAGGCTGCTTTCGCGAGATTTACAGGCCGCGCGCTGGAAGCACCTCTTTATCGTTAACAACCGGCTCGCATTCTCCTCGACCGTCGCGCCGGTCGGCTGGCTGGCTGGCTGGCTGGCTGGCTGCTCGGTCAGCCCAAGGCGCAGAGCGGAGCAAGCGGGGCGCGTGGACGTTTATACACGCGGCTGAACGCGGGCGAACTGTAAATTCTCTTGACAATGATGAACGACGCTCGGGAGACTCCTCTCGCGACTGCAAACCGATAAGGGCGAAGCGATAAGGGCGATTTTTTAATCGAAATTTGCGTCCCGCGGAATTTCAGGGACGAACGGCGAATCTCGAGATACGAAAGAACGCATTATCGTTCTGCTTCGACGCTGTTAATGATGAGCTGCTGCTGTTTTCCTCATTATTATTTAGTTCAACGACCAATTGCAAACTACTCTTTTCAACGTTTCAATAACTTTCGAATAGAATGCAGATAGAGTAGATGTGAAACAGGCGAGTATGAAATAATTAATGTAGCTAAAAATAAATTAGGAATATGTAGTGAATGTAAAAATTATTTTCACGAAATAACAAGCGCGCACGACGACTCATTTATTCATGTTGCTGCGAATATCCAAATCGCGATGGCGTGAGTCGAGTTTCCTCCAGGATAAAATCGATCTGCGCGAGCGAAGCGGTTACGATCGAAACGGGTTGGCTGCGATACATCAAAAGAATTCGCACTCTCACCCTTCTCCCTGGTAAAACTAGCCAAGAGAGAGAGAGAGAGGACGTCATTTTCCGTGAGATGAGGACAAACAGTGAGCGATGTTATTTATTTAAAACGCGTCCGCGCGCGCCCCGCGTGAATTTTAATTTCCGCATTCGTGACGCGAATCCGGAACGGGAACGCACGTCACAGGAAAGCGAATACGCGCGCTCAATGATATTGAACGTAACATGGCGTCAATTGCTGATAGCGACGCGTGTAATCCGCGCGGGGAAATAAATAAATAAGTAAATAAATAAATAAATAAATAAATAAATGAGCGATATGCGAAATCGTTCACAGCTGAACGTGTGTTCCCATTTCGAAGCGTTTACGATTTTCTGGCGACGGCATTTTGACGAACACACCCATCTGTTTCTTAAGTGTTTTCTCCTCCATTTCAATAGAAAAGAAAATAAATCAATGATTCCGTGGCATATAAAAGTGTTTATAATTGCTACGCGAGGGTGATTTGTTGTTTCCAAGTAATTGCAACTTTCTCGCGATGCACTTTGTTCAATGAATTCACATGCTTCCCGACGGTAAAATGTTTTACTTTCCCCCTCATTCTAACAAAGAGAATAAGTAAACGAGTCCGGAGTAAATAAAAATATTTTCCGTCTTTAGCGCGGATAGATCGTGGTTTCACGCACCCAAACGTTTACAATGTTCTCGCGATGCGTTCCAAGCAAAACTCATCTAACCTGCTTTTCGACGGAGAAGCAGGTTAGTCTCTTTCCCCGCGGAAAGCAAATAAACCAAATAAAATCTCGGCCGAATTATAAGAGGCCACCCTATCTCAACGAAATGTAAATGTATGCAAACGCTAATTCGCCGAGACAATTCGACGACGATGATATCCTGCGGCTCTCGCGCACACGCGCGCTGCGACGTCCCTTTCGTGCGCTGAAAAATCCGCGACCGTGTCCGAAACCGGCTCGCGGGCTTCTATTTATAATAACTTTCCGAGAGTGCTCGCGCTCGCGAACGAGCGAAGGAGAGAGAGAGAGAGAGAGAGAGAGAGAGAGAGAGAGAGAGAGAGAGGGAGGGAGGGAGAGAGAGAGAGAGAGAAAGCGACAACGAGAGAGAAGCAAAGGAGCGCCCGTCGCGGTGTGTGGTCCCGCCGCGGCGTGTCCCTCCTGCTCCTCCTCACCCCCGAATAAAAAGACCATCCGAGTGTAATCATTTTCTCGAGCCGCGCGCGGGACATGTCGTCGTCGCGCCGAAAATGCCGCGTCCGTCGTCGTTCGCTTCGCACCACTGACGATGTAGTACGCGCCGCCCGTTAAATCGGCCGAGGTAGGAAGATAGAGAAAAAAGGAAAGAAGGGGGAGAGAGAGAGAGAGAGAGAGGGAGAGAGAGAGAGAGAGAGAGACATCGAGGCGAACTAAAATTTTCCATCACATCAGCCGCTTCGCGGCGAAATTAACGGGCCCGTGACAGCATGCGGAATTCTCTCGCCGCTATCCGCCGTCGCTCGCTCGCATTAGCGGGGGTCTGCATTATGCAAACGATCGATCCGGAAGATTGACGGACACCTTGGTCGCCGTGCG